CAATAATAATGATTTTACAATAAATGATAAAATAAATGTCCAAAGTAAACACGGGAATCAGGAAAACAGGTACAGAGAGACACAGGTACAAAAACACAGGTACAGAGAGACACAGGTACAAAGACACAGAGAGACACAGAGAGACACAGGTACAGAGAGACACAGGTACAAAGACACAGAGAGACACAGGTACAGAGACACAGGTATAGAGAGACACAGAGAGACACAGAGAGACACAGGGACAAAAACACAAAGACACAGGTACATAGACACAGAAAGACACAGGTACAAAGACACAGAGAGACACAGGTACAAAGACACAGAGAGACACAGGTACAAAGACACAGAGAGACACAGGTACAGAGACACAGGTACAAAGACACAGAGATACAGGTACAAAGATACAGAGAGACACAGGTACAAAGACACAGAGACACAGGTACAAAGACACAGAGAGACACAGGTACAAAGACACAGAGATACAGGTACAAAGATACAGAGAGACACAGGTACAAAGACACAGAGAGACACAGGTACAAAGACACATAGATACAGGTACAAAGACACAGAGAGACACAGGTACAAATACACAGAGAGACACAGGTACAAAGACACAGAGAGACACAGGTACAAAGACACAGAGAGACACAGGTACAAAGACACAGAGAGACACAGGTACAGAGAGACACAGGTACAAAGACACAGAGAGACACAGGTACAGAGAGACACAGGTACAAAGACACAGAGATACAGGTACAAAGATACAGAGAGACACAGGTACATAGACACAGAAAGACACAGGTACAAAGACACAGAGAGACACAGGTACAAAAACACAGAGAGACACAGGTACAAAAACACAGAGAGACACAGGTACAAAAACACAGAGAGACACAGGTACAAAGACACAGACACAGGTGAAACACATCAGGGCGGACAGAACAGAACAGGAAGTCAAACTGATACAAAACCACAGAAGCGCAAATGTCAAAGAAAATACAACATCCACACCATAAATAAATAAATATTTACATGTACACACAGAACTGCTTTAAATGCTTCATACACTTATTCATCCACGTTTGTTTTTATCTTATTTTTTCCAATTGTCTATTGTTGAACTGTTTTTAATTGGTCACATCCACAGGCTGCAGGACGAATAGACTTTGTTTTCACGGTCTGTTTGACTTGATGCTTAAATGTGGACACCCATTGTTATGTCTGTTCCATCAACGCACTGGTGGGACTGAAATCCTGGACCTGAGGACTAGTCTCCAGTCTGAAACCCTGGACTACCTGGACCTGAGGACTAGTCCCCAGTCTGAAACCCTGGACTCCCTGGGCCTGAGGACTTGTCTCCAGCCTGAAACCCTGAACTCCCTGGGCCTGAGGACTTGTCTCCAGCCTGAAACCCTGGACTCCCTGGACCTGAGGACTAGTCTTCAGCCTGAAACCCTGGACTCCCTGGACCTGAAGACTAGTCTCCAGCCTGAAGCCCTGGACTCCCTGGACCTGAGGACTAGTCTCCAGCCTGAAACCCTAGACTCCCTGGACCTGAGGACTAGTCTCCAGCCTGAAGCCCTGGACTCCCTGGACCTGAGGACTAGTCTCCAGCCTGAAACCCTGGACTCCCTGGACCTGAGGACTAGTCTCCAGCCTGAAACCCTGGACTCCCTGGACCTGAGGACTAGTCCCCAGTCTGAAACCCTGGACTCCCTGGACCTGAGGACTTGTCTCCAGCCTGAAACCCTGGACTCCCTGGGCCTGAGGACTTGTCTCCAGCCTGAAACCCTGGACTCCCTGGACCTGAGGACTAGTCTCCAGTCTGAAACCCTGGACTACCTGGACCTGAGGACTAGTCCCCAGTCTGAAACCCTGGACTCCCTGGACCTGAGAACTTGTCTCCAGCCTGAAACCCTGGACTCCCTGGACCTGTGGACTAGTCTCCAGCCTGAAACCCTGGACTCCTTGGGCCTGAGGACTTGTCTCCAGCCTGAAACCCTGGACTCCCTGGGCCTGAGGACTTGTCTCCAGCCTGAAACCCTGGACTCCCTGGACCTGAGGACTAGTCTCCAGTCTGAAACCCTGGACTCCCTGGACCTGAGGACTAGTCTCCAGCCTGAAACCCTGGACTCCCTGGGCCTGAGGACTTGTCTCCAGCCTGAAACCCTGGACTCCCTGGACCTGAGGACTAGTCTCCAGCCTGAAACCCTGGACTCACTGGACCTGAGGACTAGTCTCCAGCCTGAAACCCTGGACTCCCTGGACCTGAAGACTAGTCTCCAGCCTGAAACCCTGGACTCCCTAGACCTGAAGACTAGTCTCCAGCCTGAAACCCTGGACTCCCTGGACCTGAAGACTAGTCTCCAGCCTGAAACCCTGGACTCCCTGGACCTGAAGACTAGTCTCCAGCCTCAAACCCTGGACTCACTGGACCTGAGGACTAGTCTCCACCCGTTGGGAGTTGGTGATTCTGTGACGCCCCTTGAGACGACTGTTGATGTGATTTCAAGCGGGGAAAAAATAAGACTGATTTTATTTGATTCGTTTTTATAATGTCTCCTTTAAAGGTGAGGTACCTAACTTTCAATTCACAGTAAACACAATAAACTACTGTATATAATAAACAGTTTCTATCCCTAGTTTTCCCATGCATTTCTAGTCTCTCTTGTTCAGCCAATCAGCCCAAGGATTGAAGAATGTTTTATTCCAGATCATGAATAATTTATCGCTGTCAGTTTTTTATATTTTATGGACAAAGTGAGAAAGGTCCGAGAGAGAAGTGGTATTTTTAGACCGGCGTGGACTTTGATGAATCGATATCTGTTTCATTCACACAGTTCATGAAAGCCTTTGACAGACCTGAAGGATGACGGACCGGACTCATCTCAGAGAACGAGATTTTTAGAGGTTTCTGAAAATAATGTCTGTAACAATATTAATAAGTTTGATCTTTTCTCACCGTGGCAGTGAGATTAAGCTGGTATTGACAACGTTTATTTATTTATTTGTTTCATTATGAATCGTTTACGGCACGTGCTGCATTCTGGTGCTAGCGAGACACAATGTAGACACAGAAAACAAAAAACGAGAGAAAGAAAAATATAAAAGAAACAAAACATAAGATTTCCGAGGCCAAAATCCACACTTGAATGCAGGGGTTAGAGCTTGTGCCTCACAGCAAGAAGGTCCTGGGTTCGATTCCACCTCCGGGCCTTTCTGTGTGGAGTTTGCATGTTTTCTGTGTCTGCATAAGTTTCCTCCAGATGCTCCGGTTTCCCCTACCACTAAAAACATGTGTAGACAATCAAATGTAATGAGTGAGTGAATGGATGGTGTTTGGTCGGAGGTTTTGATGGTCCAGTGTGTTCGGCATCTCGCTTTTGTGGAGAGCAAACAAGCAAAAACCTTGCTTGTAAAATGCGCTACAGATTACCACTTCTCTAAACAGAATAATCCCTAATTTTACGATACCCACAGTTTTTATGAACAAAATCTTCAATAATTGATCATTTCCAAATGTCAAAAAACTATAACTATTTAGAGTCCCCTGAGAAAACTACTGTTGTGATTTAGGGCTGTACAAGAATAAACTGCATTGAATGGAAAATATCTTTAATCCAAGCCAAAACGAATGCCCACATGTACAGCGTACACATGTGTGAGCGCGCAGACAAGACTCAAGATTAATTTAGCAAATGTATTTCCTTCCACTACATCATGTGTGGAAATAGGAGCCTATAATAATACAAACTAAGGGGTTAAAAAATACATAAATAAATACAAATATATACTTGTTTTTTGAGCTCCCACATCTTGAAAAATCTTCCCAAAGAGTGAAAAAAGGGTTAAACAAACTAACATAATTTATTAGTGTAAAACGTAGGTAACTTTTATATTCATACAATTAAGAAGCAGATGACTTATCTACATTAAACTTTTAGATTTATTGTGAGAGATTATTCGATCATTTCAAATAATCTCTGTCCCATTGCAGCTGCTACACTAAACTGCAGGCGTCTCCAACCTTCAATCGGAGAGCTACTTTTATACGAACAGAGAGGCAGAGAGCTACTCCATTTTGCAGTCGTAATAAAAATCGATCTAATAATTACGATAAATCACACACATGTAGAATATACTATAATACTGTACAAGTTTATTATACTTACAATAGATATTTCATGAATCAAAATGTATTCATTCAAGATCATTTGGGGAGCTACCTGAAAGAGGCTGGAGACCCTTGCTAAACTCTATTTTTTTTAAATT